TCAATTTTCAAATTACTTCACATTTTCCATACATATTTAACAAAAAAAATTGTCTTCAAAAGTTCCATTTTTCTTTTGGGAAAGGAATTGTATAGGTCATATAGGAAATGTTTTTTCTCATGGTGGTTGTTAGACAATAAAACTAATATTACTTCTGGTAGTATTGGTTATGGTAGTGTTTCATTATTAATCACCTTCCTAATCCTATTTGTAGTAGATGTTGTATGTTAGTTAGTTTCCATTCTCTATTCCTAGTTGTGTTAGGAATCTCTCCTATATATACTCTATCATTCCATAACTAAAAGAGCAATATTATTATTCCAATATTTCAACATGGTATCAGAGCAACCGCTCTTGGTGACCTAAAAAAAAAGTTCTTTGCTCCCGCCGCCGCCGCTAGTAATTCCAGCGACGGCGACTCCACCCTATTCACCTCTATTTTCTTTTCCTTCTTTTATCGTCAAATCAACGTCTCCATTCAAACAAAAAAAAAGGAAAACAACCTTGTTGAAATCATACAAAAAAACCATCAAAGGTAGAACTTCTCTCTTGTCATCTCCATGGTTCTTCAAAAAAAAAACTCAACTCCTCACAAACTCTCTCAACTAATCCTATCTTCTCAAAAAAGGAAAAAAATGATAGTTGCTCTCCAATTCACCATATCAAAATCTCAAACCCCAAATCTTTTTTCCTTCACCAATTCTTAATCCACTTTTTTTTCTCTCAAATCACTCATTCTATTAATCAATCTTTCTTCTCTTTTTCTTTTGTTACCCAAAATATTCCAAAAAAAACAACACAAAAGCAAAGCCAAGAGAGGAAGTAGTGAAAGAAGAAAGAATACCGCTACAACCCTTCAAGAAAGAAATAGGGCATTGCCCGGATCCAAGAAAAAAGACAAAGAATGTCAAGGATCTTCAGTCAAGCAGGCACCTCCAGTAGCCTTCTCTATTTTTCTTCGACGTCAGCAGCTAGAAGCGCACGTCAACCTTCTCTCCTCTTCTTCGACGCCAGCAGCTACCAACCCACGTCAATCTTCTTTCTTCTTCATCGACGTCAGCAGCTACCAACGCACGTCAATTTCTCTCTTCTCCAACGACGTTAGCAGCTACCAGTGCACATCATACTTCTCTCTTCTCCAACGACGTCAGCAGCCACCGGCGCACGTCAGACTTGTCTCTTCTCCAACGACGTGAGCAGCCACTGGCGCATGTCAAACTTCTCTCTTCTCAAAGTTTCCAGTTTCCAGCTAGTGTCCAAGCTTTCTCTTGCTTCAGCCAGAGTTCAGCTTGAGGGGGGATGTTAGACAATAAAACTAATATTACTTCTGGTAGTATTGGTTATGGTAGTGTTTCATTATTAGTCACCTTCCTAATCCTATTTGTAGTAGATGTTGTATGTTAGTTAGTTTCCATTCTCTATTCCTAGTTGTGTTAGGAATCTCTCCTATATATACTCTATCATTCCATAATTAAAAGAGCAATATTATTATTCCAATATTTCAACAGTGGTCAAAGTTCAATCATAAAATTTTATTTTTATTAATGATCGCGTACGATCGACTGTGGTTTAATTTCTTATCTCGTAATGGAGGAAGTGCCCACTAGAAATGTGTTACTACCTCTGTCTCTGAGTATTTGTGCAGTTTTGACTTATTTTGGTCAACTATTTTCAACCTTTGACATATACTTAAATAAAATATACATTGTATATTATTTAGATAAAATAATATTTTGAAATTATTTGATATAATAAATCTAATAAAACTATTATTGTGTAAATGTTCAATATCATTTTTATTTAATTTAAGATCAACATTTATCAATATAATTTTGACTAAAAAGAGTCAAAATGGACAAATTCTCAGAGACTAAGGGAGTGCAATTTTTTATTTTCATTTTTTTAGGAGAAAAAACAATGTATGGAAAAAAAATAGGTTAAACTATTAGAAATAAATTTTCATATTTGAACTTTTTAGCTAATAATGGCGTAATCTACACAGATACTACTATCATTTAAGAGTAATAACTCTCCATAAAGTGTAGTCAAATAGTAACTCATTTCCACGTAGATATAAGCTAAATAAGCTCAACCGAAAACCAACAAAATCCGAGATAATTAAATGAAACAATAGTTTCGGATAATCGATCAACCACAAATCATAAAAAGCATTTATGCATTTAGGCGATTGAAATAATAATTAAAATATAATGCTTTGATTTATAGTGGAGTCTATAATTGTGGAGAAATAATATTAGATTATGATTTTTACAATATTAAATTCATATACTTTGGGTTTATAGTGGTGTTATGTCAAAAAAATTATAATGGTGGACCTATTAATATTCTTGGAGTGTTATACAAATAGTATATGGTTGATTGAAATATTGAATGAGTCTAATCTAATCCCTCATCCTCCCACTAACACCATTTGGAGTTAAAGAGAAATTTATTTTCTTTAGTTGTTTTTAATTGAAGATTATACCTTTTGTATAGAATAGATCAAAATTTAAGTGAATATAAATTGTTCGTATATTCCCAAACTTTCTTTTTGGAAACATCCCAAAGTTAATTTCAATTTAAACGCAGTACTTTTTCCATCCAGAAATGAATGTAATATCAAAAATTTCACGTTTAATAATGCATAAAACAAACCATTTTATTAATATATCAATTTATACTTTGGTAAAAATTATAAAAAGTTGGTATTGAAAAAATGTATAGCAAAACGGATCCGACAAATTAAAATCTCAAATGTCTGCATTTTATTTTATGTATAAATCAAAAAAGCTAATTATTTATTTCACAAAAAAAAGTATTCCTTCCGTCCAAAAGTGAGTTTGTTCAGATTAATTTTATTCAAATTAAACCCTACAAATCTTAATTGTCATTTATATTAAATTTGAAAGGTATATTAGTACAATAAAATAAAATAGAAGATTTTCCATCAAAATTAATATAATCAAATCATTTTTACGAATATAATACTATACAATTTTTATTTAGTTGATAATCAATGTTTGTCTAATTTAACTAAACAAAGATCGAATAGGATTAATACTCTAGGTAGAAATTATAAAATTCCCACTATTTCACTTCAATCTTCCGCGCCAAATTTAATCACATTCTCCGATTTTTTAGTTTTATGAAAAACAAATCAATACTAATTTTAGTATTTGTCTAAGATTAATGTTTCTAGTTAGCGTTTAAATTTAAATTCTGATACGGAGTATATCGTTGGCTATTAAAAACTTTTGTAGGCTTTTGGTGGAAACATAAATAAAATTTGGATTTGACAATCTTGAGTCTTGATATCTCATTAACCGTTTGCCATTGCCCCAAACAATACATGTTTGTACCCCACCCTAGAAGATGGCATTCAGGTCAACCGGATCGATTCTAGATTGGACTTTTTTGGTTCAGATATCTTTCAGATATATGTTATAATTGATGCGGTTCGCTTCAGATCTAAATCAGTTCTATACATGTTTCGGTTCAGTTTCGAGTCGGTTTAGATACGGTTTGGATATAAATCAGTTCGGATAGATTTTGGTTCAGATACAATTTGGATCAGATATATTTCAGTTTCGGATCTAGTTCGGTTTGGAAATATTTTTGTTTCGGATATGTTTTAGTTCGGATATATATTTCAATCAAATATATTTTGGATATATATTATTTTCTAATAAAAATTTAGTTATCCATGTTTTTTTTATGTTTTAACACATTTTTCAATCTATCATCAATATAATTCAGCACCTTATATTATTTTATATTTTTTAATTATACTATCTCCACCCTAAATAATCTTCATTTTTTGACTTTTTAGTCATATTTTACAAATTTGGACTACAACATATGAAAAAAAATATATTCAATTATGATATAAATTACAAACAGAACCATACCGTACTGAACAAATCCCGAAGTCTCCTAAAAAATTGAGATTATTGAACTGATAAAATACCTAAAAAGAACCATATCGTACCGAAACCAAATGGTTGATCCGGTATTTGGGATCGGTACGAGGTATTCTCCCATATCAAAAAATGCCGAACCGAACATACATACAAATATGTTATAAAAATAACAATGTTTTTATATTTCTTCATTAAAAAATAAATTAATTTTGAAAAGTTGGTTCAAGTGTAGATGAATTGCAAATAATCTTTTATTTATATAATCATTTGTTTGAATTTTAATTTTTTGTAGATAAATATAAAAAAATTAAGAAACATTTGAAATGCTATTTTGTTATCATTCTTTCCCTGTTGTTTATGAAATACTACTAAAGGTATAAATTAAAATAAGTTTTATAAGCATTTTTTCATTTAGTTATTCATTTTTCAATGTTTATCTTTCTTTATTTGAATGTACTTTCAATTTTCTTAAAATAAAATGTTTCCTATATTTCAAAGGGTAAACTAGGTACGTGCGTGCGTGTGTGTGTCTATATATGTGTGTGTGTGTGTGTGTGTGTGTGTTACATACATACATACATACATACATACATACATATTCCTTACTGATATGAATCAAAATATTTGGTACGATACTGGTACAAACCAAATACCATACTATAACACATAATAAGGAGTATTAAAGAGGGAGAAAGACCAAAATAGGATTAAAACGTTGAAAATATACCAAAATAGGACTTTCATGTTTTTATTTCGAAATAGGACTTAGATCACCATACATGGTCATATACATTACCAAAAAAGTATCGTTATTTGCACATGTATACTGACCCATTACAACAGAGCAAAGTCACATTACTACAGTGCAAAGTTTTATTTCGAGAAAAAAACATGAAAATTCTATTTTGATACTTTTTTCTATGTTTTAATTCTATTAAGAATGATTTCTATATTAAAAATGTTATCTTTAAAAATATCATCCCGGAATAGAGAGTGTATATTTGCACACTTAATCACAAGGGGCCCATCTTCACGCTCTTGTCTCTCTATAAATGCCACCAACGGCGAGACCTCATTTCCTCACTTCTCACATCCTCCTCCTCTTCGTCCTCCCCCACTCTCTCCCTCTATCCTAAATTTTATCTTTAAATTATCTCTTTACTCTAAATAATTAATTCCATAAAGTAGATAAATATATATATTTGTTATTAATAATTAAAAAAACAGCGCAATCATGCTTTCCAGGGACACTAGCCGTACCGTCGTCGGTATCATCGGTGAGTTTACTGATTCATATTTCCGGCCGGCGGCGCTGCGTCTGTGTATAAACCGCACTCATGGATATTTATTTTAATTTTATTTTGAATTTCAGGTAACGTGATTGCGATCATCCTCTTCTTGTCACCCATGTGAGCTTCATTTTCCCTACCTAAAAGTTGGCTTCGGCCGGCTAAAAGTTTCTCCACAACTCCATTACCCTTTTTTTTTTCAAAACAAAAAAAAAGTGAGGTTAATTTTGTACATCTTCCGTTCCGTAAAACTTTTTCAACTTTTACATCTTGTTTGTTATATAAAATATTTTAATTTGACCTAAATAGACGCAATCGTCTTTACTTTTTTCTTGAATATAACCAGACATACCTCAACTATCTTCTACGCTCTATCTATTTTGATATTTTCTGAGTCTTACCCGTTTTAATTATCGTCGTTTCACTTTGGTCAAACTTCTAGAGTTTCTCCTCGCAAAAGTGAAATCACGAAATGTTTTGTGGGACGGAAGAAGTATTATATATTCCTTCCATTCTCAAAAATACTTTCTCTTTTATTTTTCTAACTTCCAACAAAACACTTCCACTTTTATTAAAAAACCACTTTTACCCTTACTTTTTCATACCCTACCTATCACATCATATTTTTCTCTAATAATACCGTATAATACATCACATCTTACTTTTACCCATCACATCAAGGGCAAAATTGGAAGTCAACTACAATTTAACACTTCCTTATTTTTACACTTAATCTAAGAACTCTTTTTTAGAATAGAGGAAGTATATATTTGAACATCAGTGTTTTATAGAGAGACATATACAATAATTATTGATGTAAAATTTCTTTGTTTGTGTCTTAAAAACACTAGGATGTTGATGGTGTAAATTATTCTGCCGATATGTCATTCTTAGCCGGGCAAGAACGATAAACTTCTTTCTCGTCATTTTGTCAGATGTCAAATTTAAGATTCTTTTAACATAGATTTATTTGGATAAACGGTGCATCATTTTCTCTCAGACATCCAGAGATATTAAAAAAATACCAGATGGTTGTGAAAAAATTGGAATGAAAAGTGAGGTGTACGAAAATGATAGTAGAGAAAATGATAGTAGTTTTTTATTTGGGTAATCATTTCGTATTACTTCATCCGTCCAGTTCATATTTGTCTGACGTTTAGTACAAATTAGACTAAATGTCAGAAAATTTGAACTGGACGAGATGTGAATTCTTTTTTGGAAAGACGTGGTCTAAGACACCGACCGACTGCTGCCGTGTTTGGCAAATGACAATATTGTCTCAAAGCTCAATCCGTGAAATTTGTCGGTTGCCAAAACATTGCCTTGAAAAGTGTTCTCACTTTCGTTTTTAGAATTGTTTCGAATTTGTGTTTATCCTTCTTGATCTAGAAATGTTTTCTTATTAAAATATTATTATCTTCCCCATCCATCATTTGTTTTCTTTTCACCACCATTTCCTTGAAATGTTGTTGGGACCAATTAGGCATTGTGTGTTGTAGAGTTTTTATCAAACATTAATTTAATAATTTTGAGCCAAATACTCTGAGACGAAGGGATTAAAATGTAATTAAGAACTTGAAAACTTATTGTGTTGGTCGGGGCAGGCCAACATTCGTGACGATATGGAAGAAGAAGTCGGTGGAGCAGTTCTCGGCGGTGCCGTACCTGGCGACGTTCGTAAACTGCGCGCTGTGGGTGCTGTACGGGCTGCCGATGGTTCACCCCCACAGCCAGCTGGTGGTGACCACCAACGGCATCGGCCTGGCCATCGAGATCGTCTACCTCCTCCTCTTCCTCGTCTTCTCGGACTCCAAGAAACGCCTCAGGCTGCTCCTCATCATCGTCGCCGAGGTTGTCTTCGTCGCCGCCCTCTCCGTCCTCGTCCTCACCCTGGCCCACAACTGGAAGCTCCGGTCCGCCATTGTTGGCAGCATTTGCATGGCTGGTAACATCATGATGTACGCTTCCCCCTTGGCTGTCATGGTACGTATAGTATACTAACAACTCGCTCCTTTAATTTTATCTTATCCATATATCCTTCTAATTTATTTACTCTATCCACTTAGCGATCTAGATAACATTTTGACCAGTAATATACTCCCTTCGTTCCAAATTATTTGTCACATTTGCTTTTTCTATAATTCGTTAATAAAAGGTGCTACAGTTTAATACTCCCTCCGTCCCACAAAAAAATTTCCATTTTGAATAGTATTTAATCAAATATTTACACGCTTTGACTGGTAAATATTGATCAAACTGCAGTAATCTTTTAAAAGTGAGAACGTTTTTGTAGAACGAAGGGAGTATAAAAATAGTCAAACTGCAGTAATCTTTTAAAAGGGGAGATTACTAAAATTTTGCTTCTTTTTTTCATTTCACCAATGAAATTACTTTTCGTGCCCGGAAATATAATGTCACACTGTGAGTAGTGAGTACAATAGACACTTCAGATCTTAATATTTCTGTAGAAGAGTAGCATTAAATATGTGATTAGACATTAGTGCAGTTATTATTATTCGTTACAAAGATCTGAAGTGAAGTGTCTATTATTATTATTAGGCATTAAATTTAAGAACAACCAAAATACCAGTCTATAAATATATATGTGGTCCAACAATATAATGTACAAATTTCAATTTAATTGGTTCAGTGGTTCGCAGTACTGTACCTAACCGGTTCGCTCCGTCCTTTTATTTTTATCGCTAATAATTTTGTAATTAGCCGTTCTTTTTTACATTATTGTAATAAAAATAGATTTTGTTGAAAAAATAATTGGAAATTAAATTATGTTCCAGTTAGAGTTTATCTTCATTTTTTTAAAATGGTGTCTTCAATTTTAAAAAAAAAACTCAATAAGGATAGAGACTACCGTTCCATAGTATCGGTGGAGGGCAGGTAGCTTATACATGCATGGGTACGTTTTTCGGACACGTGTTTTGTAACAATCATCAACCTTATACGTATGTAATCCTTATTTAACACGGATTGTCTACTACTAGTACAAATATCAAATACATTTTTAAAAATATTTTTATATATGATAATCATATTAGATTTTTTTAATATTAATTTCTAATTGATGATCAAATTTATATTTAAGTGAAATTTGTACTGAATAAGACTAAAACATACTCCCTCCATTCCAAAAAAATTTATACGTTTCAAAAAAAATTTGTCCCACAATCCCTTACTCATTTCTATTAAAAAACCACTTTTACCCTTACTTTTTCAAACCCTACCTATCACATCATACCTTTTTCCTAATAATCTACAAATCACATCCTACTTTTACACATCACATCAAGGGTATTTTTGGAAAGTCAACACAAAATTATCCCTCCCTTAATTTCAACTTTAGTCAAAATGGGTAACACTTTATAGGACGGAGGGAGTAAGTCATTTCTTAATGTAGGATTTAAACTTTTTTATTTCCGAAATAAGATTTAATAATGACTAGTGAGAAGAATAATATCCAAGTGATGCTGGACATTTAATTGAATAATGACTAATAGATTATGACCAATGGTCCTACATTGGAAAATAAAAACATATGATCTTATACTAAAAAAGTCATTTTATTTTAGTCATATTTAGGTAAATTACTCTATATTTAATTGTTGATCAGATTTGTCGTATTGCTCTTAAATTGAGAAATCAAACAAGTACCCTGACTCACGAAGATAGCACCAAACCATTCGAGACGGTGTCACTTGTCAACTATGAACACACCAACTTCTCTTAAAATAATTATTTATGGAGTTTTTTTTAAAAAAAAAATTACGGAATTTAGAAAAACATATAAAAAAGTAAAAATGGTACATATGTTGAAATTTATTTAGAAAAAAAATCTTGTAAGTGCAATTTCTTTTGTTAATAAGATGGGAAAATAAGAAATTATAAATTACCACGTACTAAATTTCATTATTCTGCGATATACTACCTCCGTCCGGAAAAACTTTTCCAGTTTAACTTTTTGGTTATCAGACAGTAGCACTCTTTGATCACAAATTGTGAAAAAATATATTCAATTCTAATGTAAATTGAATATAATTAGATTTATCTTAGGATGTCATTGTTTGACCTAAAAAAAATCAAAAGCGGAAAAAGTTTTTCGGGACGGAGGCAGTATTAAAAAAAGAAAGGTGTAAGCACTATTTATTACTCCCCTACTTTAAATTAATCTATGAACCCATGTCATGCAATTAAAATCATTGGGTGGTAGATAGTAGGTGCAGTGGACATGAATGAAATGAAATGAAATGAATTTGTGAGTGGGGGTTTAATTGTGAGATGCAGAAATTGGTGATCACGACAAAGAGCGTGGAGTACATGCCATTTTTCCTTTCCTTGTTTTCCTTCCTCAACGCCATTAGCTGGACTTCCTACGCCTTCATCCGCATTGACCCCTACATCCTGGTAAGATCGACTTTGCCCTAGCTAGGGTAACCCCACGTTTTTTACACTGCCATTGACCGCATACTTTGCATGGACATGCACCGACAATAACAATCCGTGCAACACCGACCGATAGTTATTATCGTTTGTGCGTGTCTGTACAAAATATGGGATTATGGTCTCCCAAAACGTTGGGTTACCCTAGCGGTATATTTATTACTTCTTCACCC